TCTTCTTACAGAAGACCTAAAGGTCTTCTTCTAGGAAACCAAGAGATCTTCCCACAGAAGACCAAGAGATCATCTTATAGAAAGCCAACGGGTCTACTTATTGAAGACCAAGAGTTGTTTTTATAGATGATAGGAATATCTAGTTTAGAAGTCCGGAAGGTCTTTTTGTAGAAGACCATATCTAGTAGGTAGAGGGAGAGCTCAAGGCCTTCTCACATCTTAGCTGAATGTCTTATCATTGAAAGTCTAAATTTATTTTCGTCGAAGTCCAGTAGGTCCTCTTAGAAGGTCATATTGTCTTCTCATAGAGTGCTCTCTTATGGAAGTCTGCAAGGTCTTCTTATAGAATACCAAAACGTCTTCATAGAAGGACAGAAATTATTATCGTGACAGAATAGAAACTCTTTTTAAAAAGGTCAGATTTTTTTTAAGAGGCCTGAAGATCTCCTCATAGAATACCAAATGATTGATAGAACAATAGAAGGACTTGTTATGGAAAAGCAGAAGGTGCTCTAATAAAAGTATAAAATAGCTTCGTATAGAAAGTAGGAAATTCTTCGTACCCTTCTACGGATTTCTTATAGAAAAAAATGGGGGTTCACTATAAAAATTTAAAGTTCCCACAAATCTATATTTCGTAAAGAGTTTCTTGCCGATTTTTATTTATTTATTGTTTTTTTTTTTCAATTTCCACCCACTGTCCCTTCCAAATGTCACGTTGCATTTGTATCGAATGCGACCAGAACGAAAGAATGAATTTTCTTATTTTTGCAAGCAGCAGGAAGTCGTGCTGAAATAACAATAGAAATAAAACAAATTTTCCATTATGTTTTGTTGTTGTTGTAAAGAGTGTAAGATGACGCTTTAATCTACACGTCATCATTTCGTGTAGTTCTATATTTATTTTTTAATTATGTCTTTAGTGTCTGTCCGTCTGTCGTCTTTTTAGTGTAACACAAATTGTTTGGATGCCATTTTATTTTTTGTTGGTGTGAATTAATTTTTTGTCACGTATTTTCCTTGTTACTGGAATTGGAGAAAAGCGACATTTTAATTAAACTACTATGAAAGGTAGTAATTATAATTGCTTTTAGGCAACGATGGAAAAATAGAGAAAAAATGCAATATGATATTACAACAGGTGATGGAGAACGATTGTGTTGTTGTGGGACTGATAAACTATTATACAAGTTGATATGATGAAAACGGGGGCGTTACATTGTAAAAATTTAAATGTAAATGTCCAAATTATAATCGGAATTACAAAAAATATGAACTTCGTAATGCTAAAATATGTGACTACAGCGCCTTGGACCATTCAAATCCCTATAAATGAACTGGGGCTTTATATGGGGGATATACTCAAACGTCGACCTATAATTATCGGCAAAAAGATTTACCACCCAATGACACCTAAACATATGCAAATAAGACCAATTCGGTGGAAAACATGACCATTTCCCATTTTTGAAGAACCATTAACAAGAATTTAAACATGTCATTCTGCAAACATATACTAAATTTTATCAAAGGATATATAGGGACTTTGGTTCACCATTTATATAAAATCGGACGAAATTATATATAGGAGCTATATCTAAATCTCAACCGATTTTCACGAAATTTAACACACATCTTTCTAGACTTAATTCAGAAATTGGCAAATTTCGTGCAAATCCAGGGATATATAGGGAATTTGGTGCACAATTTACATAAAATCCGACGAAAATGTATATGGGAGCTATATCTAAATCTGAACAGGTTTTCACGAAAATTAACACAAATCTTTGCAGACTTAATTCAGGATGCTGTGTCAAATTTCATTCAAATCGAAGGATATATAGGTACTTTGATGCATCATTTACATAAAATCAGACGAAATTATATATGGGAGCTTTATCTCAATCATAACCGATTTTCAGGAAACTTAGCACACATCATTCTAGACTTTATTTAGTGCGCTATGCCAAATTTCGTGCAAATCGAAAGATATATAGGGACTTTGGTACACCATATACCTGAAATCGGACGAAAATATATATATGGGAGCTATATCCAAATCTGAACCGATTTTCAGGAAACTAGACACTTGTTATTAAAGGACTTTGGTGTACCATTACATTAAATCGGACGAAAATATATATGGGAGCTATATCTAAATCTGAACCGATTTTCAGTAAACATGACACACATCATTCCAGACCTAATTCAGTGCGCTATGTCAAATTTCGTGCAAATCGAAAGATATTTACGCACTTTGGTGCACCATTTACATTAAATCGGACAAAAATATATATGGGAGCTATATCTAAATCTGAACCGATTTTTCCCAATTTCAATAGGGTTCGTCCTTGAGCCAAATAAGTGACCTATGTCAAGTTTCATCCAATTCGGATTGTAAATGCCACCTGTACTTTGTTTACAATTTAAGATGGACAGACAGATAGACGGACGGACGGACATGCATAAATCGACTTAGAAAGTGATTCTATGCATATTCTCAAAAGGAACCATGTGTCTATTTCGTTTCCTTTTGTCTGTTACAAACATATTCACAAAGACATAATACCCTGTACCAGCAACGTACACAGGATTTCATTTCGGGGGGGGCCCGGTAGTACAAAATTAAAAAATTCGCTGTTGCAAACAGTGTGGCCCTGTACCAAGGGTATACACAATTTTGATGGCATTCAATACACAACATCTTAATAAGGACTTTTTTGAAAACGTGCCCAAACTCCCCGTAATACCAGAATTTGGAAGAACTTTAAAAAGTTGATAAAAAATAATTTGCAGCCAATTCGGTTGAAAAAACGAAACCTATATCTCCAAAATACCCGCCCATTTTTTCACAAATCCATTTCTCTAACATTATAATTGTAAACTCCAAATTTGGTGAAGCTAGCATGTTGGAAAATATTTTATGCCGCTAAAATCGCGATATTTAGGACATACCGAAATGTTAAATTTTAAAACCATTTAGTGCTCTTCTGAACGCTTTTGCGAATTTCCAAAATCACCGCCTTATCATCCTTTACACACTAAATGTGTCCTCCATATTTATTTTATTAAAGTTCGATTTCTCATTAATCTACATACTGAAGATTTAAACCTTTTCATACGAATTTCGAAAATTTATTGCATTATGTTAACAAGACCAACTTCGAATCCGAATATTGGTTCACTGCTTCTGATATATCGTCACCGTAAGAAGTTCCATCGACTTGCTTAGCTGGCTTGTTACAGAACGGATGTTCCATAAGGCGAGCTTAAAAAAGATTTCCAAACGCGTCGGTCTTTTGGCCATCTCCTCCAATTTTAAAGACCTTATTCTGAGATGTTGTCTTCTACATAATCTTTCCATCTAATTCACACGACAAACTGTCACCTTGTCTGAATCATCGTTAGGTCCTTTCCGCTGTAACTGCTGACCATGTGCCACATGAAGTTATCCTGCATAACCGTATTAATATTGCAGGAATGCCGAACACAGACATGGCTTTAAATACCTCTGAACGGGTAGGGCTTTCGAATGCGGTTTTATAGTTCACGAATAGGTGTAATGTGTCGATGTGTTTTTCGTGTGCCTTTTAAAGGATTTGGCGCAGAGTGAAAATCAAATGTGAATTTGCCAGGTCTGAAGCCGCATTGGTAGCATCTGACCACCAGTCTTGAATATTTCGGCTGGTAACCCATCGGCTCCTGCCGATTAATTGCTACTCTGACCGCATCGTCTGCATATCGTAATATGTTTTCAAAAGCTACGTAAAATTCTAATGAGTCACTCGTCCTATCCACAGATACAAATTTGATAAACTTTAATATTTTTACTCATGATACCTCCCCCACAAATGTTTTAAAAGTTGAAAATATTTTTCACAACTTTAGACTGAGTTCATGAAATTATGTTCGACTCTCTTACAAAGACGAAGTTATTCCAGAAACGGCCGTCTATTGTACCAATGCAAGATTGTCATGACTTCAAAGCAAATGGTCGTCTGTTTCTTTGGCAAAACTGTTCATATGGCGGTTTCTTCACTTGAACAACATAGGGCGGTCGATTCTAAGTGGTATAACACAATGTGTTTTTCGCAGTTCTTCGGAGAAATTAGAAATAGAAACAAGGGAAGTCGACCCATTGCGAGCTCTCACAGATTGGCTCAACCAAGCGCCTTATTGACCGACAAAAATGTGGGATTGAGGTATAATCCGTCAATATTATGCTAGGGATTACCCTCCATCAGAATAATCTGCATTGAGTTTTGTTGAAATCATTTCTGAATTATACATCGTTCTTATATATTTTGTCTACCGATTTTATCTAAATGATACACATACTGCCTAACGAGTGCCGGACTGGGACGGAATTGCGCACATCGTTCCGAATTGAGCCTTAAATGGCTTCAATTAAGTTTTGTTAAAATCGGTTGAGATGTCGATTTAGGTATGCCCGTCTGTCATTGAAAGTCACGATAGAGATTTTTAAAAATTAAGATAGGATCTTCAAAAACAAAACAAGTGGCTTCAGTTTATTATTTAATGTCTTGGAAGCTGACAAATATCCCGCTCCATTTTTAGTATATTAAAAGTATATATTTGTAGTCGAATATTCCTAACGAAATTTATATAATTTGGCATACGGGATCTCGTATTTTTAGAAGATTGTCGATGCATTGTCCTCCAGGAGTAGCTGTAGTTTTGCATTCCTGCTGAATAAAATACTTCTACCCCAAAAATCTACCCTCATAAAATGTCCCGCTTTGTTTAAAGTATCTCTATATGAGAGTCCCGACCTTTATAAGAAATATTGAATGCAAATCACACGAAGGTATAAGAAGTTCAGCATAGCCGAACACAAAGTTGTTTCTAGTTGTAAACAAACACTCTAAAATAAATTATAGGCTTTATATATTTTTAATATCAATGATTTTTACTGTTATTTATTGAATATTTTTCCATTTCAAATCAAATAACATCTTATTTTTTAAATTTCTTTGCAGGCCAAATTATTCCGCATATTCCAAGAGGTTATGAATGCCGGTCGTGATGCCCATCACGAAGAATTGCGACGTCTGGGTATATATGTTGTTCGGAAATTTGTTGAAACGGCACCGAAAAATCCAAAAATCTATGCCGAATTGTTATTCTACAAGAGTGCCAAGGAAGCCAATGAACTTGAAACGGGTTATTGTGATGCCTACGAATCGTAAGTATTCTCCTTTCGTTCACTGTTTTTCAATTAAATGCTAAAACAATGATAAATAGTTTTTCTGGATACCATTGACCATTGTTAAGCTGCAACCTTGAGCCACAATTTGAATATCTATTGTACACAAAAACTCGTTAAAAGCCCTATTTTGGGATTTGTGAGATTGATTACTTAACAAATCCCCAGCCTGTCTGGCCTGGCTATGATATTTAGAATGTGGAAAACAAAAACAGCCGTTAGTAAAATGGAAATGATGATGAATGATTTCAATGTAAAGCCCTCAGACAGTCACTGAAGGGGAATGGTCAGCCTGCCTGCCTGTTTATGGCAGTGGCCTTCAGTGTCACAATTGGGCGGGTTGTTGGCCTTGATTGTGGTGTTTATAATTCTTTAACACCCATTTTTTTTATTTTAAATGAAGTTTTTGTTTTCTTCTTTTCTAATGATGATGAGGATTTTCTTTTAAAATTGTTTATTCTGCCATACTGCCCACTCCTTATGATTCCTTTGCTAACATGTTTTTTTTTCATTTTGTAGTGGTACCAAAGGCACATGGACCGATGAACAGGAGGCTGAATTGCGTTTTCTATTTGAAGAAAATCAACGAAATCCTGAAACTGACAAGGGTAAGTAAAGTGTTTCTCAGTGTGCGCCCGAGTGTGTATGTGTGTGTATTTTGGATCCTTGTAGTAGTTGTTATGAAGTCTTTCATTTTTTTGTCCACTGATCCATCCCTTCATTCATCCTCAGCGAAAACTCATCTAGTTTGGATAACGGATAGGATGATGTTTTCTGCTGGCTGTGATGTGACATTCCGTTTTCTATTAACCTGTTGTTGGGTGAGGGGTTGAAATGTTCGATAATGTCACTGCATGAGGTTGTTTTGGGGTTGCCATTGTGAATATAGTAAAAATCTCTCTGATCCGAAATTTATTAGGTGAGCCTTCAAAAAAGACGAACCAAAAAAATTGTTTTATCCTCAGGATTTTTAAAGATTTTTTAGGGAATATTTGGATTTTTTAAAGGTTATGGTTTCAGGGTCTATCGGAGGTGCGGATTTGTTAAAGAATATTTTTTTCAGAGCCTCAGGCTCTATCTGAGGAATGGATTTTTGTACGAATATTTTTTCAGGGTCTATATAGGGTGTCGATTTTTTTAAGAATATTTTTTTCAGGCCTATCTGAATCGTGGATTATGAAGAACATGTTTTCAGGGTCTGTATAAGGCGTCGACTTTTTAAAGAATATTTTTGTCAGAGCCTCTCTGAATCGTGGATTTTGAAGAACATGTTTTTCATTTTAATTTTTTTTCAGAGCCTCTCTGAATCGTGGATTTTTTAAAGAATATATTTTCAGGGTCTATCTAAGGTTTACAGGTGTAGATTTTTTTAAAGAATATTTTTACAGGGTCTATCTAAGGCGTGGATATTTTAAAGAATATTTTTTCAGTGTCTATCTAAAGTGCAGATTTTTTGAAAAATATTGTTTCAGGGTCTATCTAAGGCGTGGGTTTTTTAAAGAATATTATTTCAAGGTCTATCTAAGGCGTGGAGTTTTTTTAAAGAATATTTTTTCAGGGTCTACCTAAGGCGTGGATTTTTTAAAGAATATTATTTCAAGGTCTATCTAAGGCGTTGATTTTTTTAAAGAATATTTTTTCAGGGTCTACCTAAGGCGTGGATTTTTTAAAGAATACTTATTTCAGGGTCTATATAAGGCGTGAATTTTTTAAAGATTTTTTTCGGGGTCTATCTAAGGCTTTGATTTTTAAAGACTATTTTTTTAAGGTCTATCTAAGGCGTGGAGTTTTTAAAGAAAAATTTTTCAGGGACCATTTAAAGAATATTTTTTTCAGGGTCTATCAAAGGCGTGGAGTTTTTAAAGAATATTTTTTCAGGGTCTATTTAAGGCGTGGTGTTCTTAAAGAATATTTTTTAGGACCTATCTGAGGGGTGGATTTTAAAAGATTGTTTTTTCAGGGTCTTTTAAAGAATATATTTTCAGAGCCTATCTGCGGCGTGAATTTTTGAAAGAATATTTTTTTTCAGGCCTATCTGCTGCGTGGATCTTTTAAAGAATATTTTTTCAGTGTCTATCTGCGGCGTGCATTTTTCGAAAGAATATTTTTTCAGTGTCTATCTTTAACGAAGTAAAATAAGTAATGGTAACACTGTTGATAAGACTGCCGCTGACAATCGCATCTAGATATGTTGTGTAAAATTCTTACTCATTCTCAACTCAACTCACCCCTTCCACCCTCTGCATGTTTTTGGCTTTTGGCAGCATTTTAAGTGCTTACTCGGTCAAAGTCCGACCAGTGATTGATTTAACAAGTCAATTTGAATGTGTTGACAGTTGCCTGATTGAAATAATTTTCTTTATTATAGCACTATGCAATAACAACAAAAGCGATACCAACAACGGCGACATGCTGAACAACAACAACACCAACTTTACAATCATTGGCAAAAAGACGCTATCGTCATTGTCGTCCTTGTCGTCACCATCATTGTTTGTCATCAGCTGTGTCCACTTTTTTCTCCACCCCTCAGTTAATGGATTTCGTTGATGAGTTTGTGTTTTATCCTCATCCTTTATTTTTGTTTCGTTATATCCTTGAATAGAACTCTCCAATGGCTCCTGACTTCCTTTTCGCTCGTATTGTCTGATAATGCTTTGACATTTTTATTTCGCCAATATGTCCGAGTTTAATTGTTATGTGTCTGAAGTGATTGAAATTTGTTGTTGTTGTTGCTGTTATCGCTCTATAAATTATGACTTTATGGCGAGATGTGGTGAAGTGGTAAAAGAACAAAACGGAGAATTTATTAGAAATGCCTGGTTTGAAGTGTAATTTGATAGACGGCAATTTTTTATTGATGACAACTTAACGGATGGGGATTTTATTTTTTAAAGAATATTTTTACAAGGATTGTCGAAGCATAAGGAGTGGATTTTTAAAGAATATTTTTTCAGGGTCTATCTAAGGCGCGGATTTTTTAAACAACATATTTTCAGGGCCTTTCTGAGGCGTGGATTTGTTTAAGATTATTTTCTCAGGGTCTATTTGAGCCATGGATTTTTTAAGGAATATTTTCTTAGGGTCTATCTGAGGTGTGGATTGTCAGATTTACGGGCGTGGATATTTAAAGAATATTTTTGTATTTGTTTTCTCGTTTTCTAATGTTTGTTTGTCTGTATTTTTGTTATAGATGTCATTGACTGGATTTTGGAGAACCTCATCGATAAGACCCGAACTCGCCGCGGCGTGTTGAAGAAGATGAAGGAAATGGGTCTAACATTTAAGGCCCCAACAAAGAAATCTACAGCCAGTGCCCAGGCCAAACATCTATGGAAACCGGAAGAGGATGAAGAGCTGCGCTCACTCTATGATCAATATCGTACGGAAGATGGTAAGAAGTGATTTCTAAAAAGAGAACTCAAAGTTAGTATAATATTGTTATATTTTCCAGATTGCCTTCAACGTATCCTAGACGAGTTCGAGGAAAGACGCAACAAACAACAAATTATAAAGCGTATGATACAGCTGCACATTATTGCAGATAAATCGGAAATTTTGCCACAAAAGCCAAGGAAGCGTAAATCGAAAAAGAAGAACGATGAGGACGACGACAATGATGAGAGGGAGAATGAGGAATATATGATGGAGGAAGAAGGTGTGAAATCTTCAGCCTCATCGTCTAAGGCCTCCAAACGTAAACCTGGCAAATCACAAAAACGGAAAATTGTACGCACTCCCCTTGATGTGGGTACGGTTAGGGCTCTGCTGGGTCAAATTGATGCTGAGAAATATCAGGAGGCAATCGATTGGCTTAAGGAATGTTTGGATGATGCTGCCGACGATGAAGACGAGCCCAATGAGGAAGATGATGGTGTGCCATTGTTGCCATTACAGGCCCATCAAAAAGAGGCCATGGAAGATGAGAATTTCAAAAAGGTCTTGGTGGCTTTGGGTATACAACCACCCGTTTTGGGTATGGAGACCTATTGGCGTATACCAACCTATTTGAATGCAGCCGATTTGAAGTTGAGAGCCAAAATTGTTGCCGGCGAAGAGGTGGAAATTGATGTGGAGGGTATTGGAGATGAAGATGAGGAGGATAGTGAGAATGATCGCGGAAATGATGACGGTGGCAGTGAAAGCGAGGAAGATTACTTGGAATCTTTGGGTACGGCTAAAGATCGTGAAAAATTGGATAATTTGGAAAAGATTCGCGACCAACAGAGGGCAAAAATGAATAACTTGATGTTTAGCAAGAGTGATGAGGAGACCGAGGAACGTGCACCCTTGCAGGCCAAGCAAAAGAAAAAGAAGAAGGAAACCAAAGCCGAAAAGAAAAAGAAGAAGCCGGCTAAATCGGAATCAGAAGATGAAGATCCCGAATTGGTGAATAAAATTAAAAAGAAATTGGATAAGAAACGTCGTAACTACGATTTGAGCAGTGATGAGGATGGCAGCGATGGCGAGGACACTTTTAAAATGCCCGCTGAGAAAGAGGTTGAAAAACCTAATACCGAAGATCTGTTCGATCAGCTAAAGGCCAAACGGGCTAGCAGTAAAATTAAACTAAGCGATATGGTTGATGAAAAGAAAACTGCTGCGAAAAATAAGGCCACTGCTCCTGGCGAGGATGATGGCGATGATGATGACGATTTGAATTTCAATTCTGAGGATTATCGTAAACGTTTGGCTGAATTGGGCGATGATGATGAGGAGCAGGAGGAGAATGGAGATGCCGATGCAGGTGTAGATGGAGATGAACCAGAAGAAAAAACTATTATCAATCGTTCTCGTCGTGCTAATGTAATTGAATCCGATGATGATGACAATGGCGCTGATGATACTAACAAGAAAGTTAATCCCAGTGACAATGCCACTAAAAAACGTCGCCGTTCTTTAGATGATGATGGCGCTGAGAAGGAGGACGAGGACGAAGATGAGGATGCCATGTTTTTGTCACGCAAAAAACCCACGGCTGATGAAAAACTTGCTGCTGAAACTGGCGAGGAACCAGCTAAACGTCGTCGCTTGGCCATTGTCGATGATGATGACGATGATTATTGAACAGCAATTCCCTTTCCCATATTCTTTGTTTTTTCTCTATCCTTGTAATGCTGTGTGCAGTGACTTTTTTCCAATCAATTCTTTCAATTTACTTAATTTTTCGTTTCGTTTTGTCTTCCTTTGCCATTCCTCCTACTTCTTTTCGTATCATTTTACATACACTTAATTGATGAAAAATTACAACATAGCATGCCCGCGTCCCGAAGATTTTCAAAATCAAAACTTCACTGCAACTTTGGTTTGGCATTTTCCTTTTTCTTTGCTCTTCGTTGATTCTCGGTGGCATATGTTTTCTTAGCCGGTTGAGAATATCCGCCGCCATCATTATCAATTTTTCGTCCACTAATGGTAGAATGTCAAAGTTTTATCTTTCACTTTTTTTGTTGGGCACTGCATACAGCAAAACATTATTATTCATTTATTTGCCTTTTGTCACATTCGTTTTTTTTTTTCTTTTTTTGTTTTATTTAATTCCTTCTTTGATTTTCTTTATTTCTTTGTGTAAACGTTGTGTATATCTTTGATTGCACTTCGTTCGTTCGTATCGTATCGCAGCTTTTGATTCTATGTTAAATAAAGTTAAATGTTTCCTTTGCATCTTAAATTGATTGTGTTTTATTTCTTAATTAAAATGGACAGGCAAATGTCCTTTTGCCCAAAAAGGATAATGGATAATGTGAAATATCTGTTCGGTGAGTTGATGTGGAAATCAAATATTCCGTTCGCGAGAAATGTTTTCTTTTTTGATTGTAAATTAAGAATTCAATTATGTCAAGGAATTATATGAATGTTTTTTTATTTGAAAAAATTAAGAAACTTGACCTAGTCGCCAGGATAAAATCAAATATAAAATTTAAATATTGCATTTTCAGAATTTTGTCTACTTTATATACAGGATTTATTATTTGATTTCTATAAGTTATATGTTTTCATCAGAGAGTTGACCATCTGTGGAGAGGTACCAGAACAGGTTGCCATATAGACCCTATCGGTTCAAATAAATACACGTTCAATACAGGTTTGTAAAATAGGTATCCGAAGGAGAGGTCCGACGGGGCACCTTCGGACTTGATTTATGTAAGGTAATAATATTACAATTTTGTGATAATTTAATATCTGTCCAGGACTAGGGTCTAGAACAAATATTTTGGAACATTGTTAAATTCAAATGCTAATAACTCAGCAAAGCTTAACCGATTCTCATACATTTTGAACATATGGTTCAAAAGGTCTCTCGAAAACATCCTCAACATACGAGGGCGGTTTGGAAAGTTCTTAGCTTAGCACAAAAAGAACAGTATAAACAGAAAAATGTTAAGTGGTTTGGAAACTTCCTTATGAAAACATGTTTCGATCTGGCAACTCCTTTATATAGAAACAGGTGTTCAAAAAAGATGCATCGGCATTTTTATACCCTACATAACTATGTTGTCAGGGTATTATAGCTTTGTGCGGCCCCAAGAGTTTGTAACGCCTTTAAGTATACCGATCTCCGGTCATATCTCGACTATCTGAGTCGATCTAGACATGTGTGTCCGTCCGTCTGTCCATTATAATTTGTAAACACGATACAGGCCACAGTTATGGACCAATCTTCACGAAATTTTGCATGTAGGATGGGTTCTGGCCAATGAAGACCGCTATTGTTTTTGGTAAAGATCGGTTAATATTTAGGTGATGAAATGGATCAAATACTTAATTTTTGTCGGTTTTTCTGGTCGCTCCAGAGGCCGCAATTAAGCATGCCTGTTTTGATAAAGATCGGTCAATATTTAGCGGGTCAAATAGACCCTGACTTTTGTGTGAAGAATGACAAAATTTGTATTCTATAACGTATATATTTTCCCCTGAAGGAGATAGAGCCGATAAGTTGATAGTATATCCAAGAGGAGTGGTTGACCTTTAAATTGATACCAATTTTATTGTCGTATGTACTCGGTTGTGGGAGTTACACTTAAATATTTACAGGTGTTTACGTATTAAGTTATTATTTAGTAACCCATTACCACACTAGATGGCGGAAATATAGCGCTGATCGCTTTTAAATGTTTTATGAGGTTCCAGTTATGGTCAAGGAAAACGCCTATAATTTTCGGTGAGGATCAGATAATAATTTTGGGATGAATGGATCGAAAACTTTTTTTTGGTTTTTTCGAGTCGATCTATAGGCCGCAGTTGAAAGCCGAATATCACAACCCACGGTGTAGGGAATCTGGTACTGAATATTAGTAATATTTGTTGGCCTCTAGTCGGTCAATAGGGTGCAAATATCGCGAAATATTGCCCAGGCTCAGAATATAGAACCGCAGAATGTTAGATTTTCGTGGAAGTTGTGTAGGGTATCATGTGGTCGGCCCCGTCCGACTATACTGCTCCGCTCACTGGTTTTACAATTAAAGCACGCATTTCGAATTTCTCCATTGTAAAAATTGCGGATACGTCTGTTTGAACATATGTGTCTATATGAAGGAGTTGTCAGATCGAATCAAAATTTAACATGTGTTCGTAACAGAGATGGAATTTTCCACAACATAACATTTTTGTCTATTTATAGCGTGCTTTTTGTGCTAGGATAAGAACTTTCCGAACTGCCCTCGTATATTAACACTACACAAGAATTCTGACCGCAACGGAAATCTATATCTATACTAAATTTGATATCATTTGTTACCTTTGTTGATATTGATTAATATTAATTTCCAACAATCCAACACAAATCATATTTCCCAAATTCAGGATTCCATCCGGATCGGTTCACCCAAATCCCAATTGAGCCAAATTTAGCACACATTTTTAGAATTTTGCAAAACTTCCTACATACCCTAATCCTAAACCCCAACAGTGATCCCGTCCCCAAATTACAGGATTCCAATTCTACCGGTTCACCCAAAATTCAAATTGTAGCATTTAGTGCATCTAAGTACGAATTTCCCAAACATCCTTCATGGACCAATTCTACATTCCAAACGAATTCTTAATATTTATTCCAAATTTAAAGATTTTAGCTCTATCGGTTCACTTAAATCCAAACTGTAGCAAATTTAGTACCATTTAGTCCACATAAGCATCATACCCCAATTCTACACTCCAACAGTTATCTTATTTCCAAATTACAGAGTTAACCTAAATGCAAATGCAATCAAATTTAGTACTTTTCGTACACATAAGTACAAAACTACCAACATATTTCTATTCTACACCCCAACATGAATCGTAACTCCGTTTTTTAGGATTAGGATTTAGCTCCATTGGTTCTGCCATAATTAAAATTTGCTACCTTTTAGTACACATACACATAAGTACGAATTCACAAAACTTACTACATATTACAGTTCTACATTTCAAAAGGTATATTTATTTCATATTTTTACTATTCCAGCTCTTAATCCAAATTGTGTTAAATTTAGTACTCATAAGTACTAATATCCCCAATCCTACACTTCAACAATAATCTTATTTCTATGTTTCAGGATTCCAGTTCTATCGGTTCACCGAAATCCAAATTGTACCAAATTTAGTACCATTTAGTGCACATTAGTCGAAATTTCCAAAACCTTCTATGTACCCCAATCCTAAACAGTGATCCTAATTCCAAATTTCAAGATTTCAGCTCTATTGGCTCACCAAAAATTCAAATTGTAAAAATTTTGGAATACATAAGTACGAATATCTCAAACTACCAACAAACCTCAATTCTACAATGCAATATTAGTCTTATTCTCAAATTTCGGTGTTCCAACTCCATCGGTTCATCCAAAATCTAAATTGTACCAAATATAGTACCATTTAGTATTTTTCATACACATAACTAAAAATTTTTAAAACTACGTACATATTCCAATTCTACACTCCGACGGTAATAGTAATTGTACAAGAGTACACTCTTCCAAAACCACCTACTTATATCGATCCTACTTTCCAACCTTAATTAGTAATCCAAATTTCAAGTGTTTAGCTCTATCTATTCGCATGTTACGAAATTGTAACAAATTTAGTACATTTTATTACTTTTCGGATACTAATATTTCGAATTTCCAAAAACCCTTTGATACACATTTCCTACATTCCATCAATCCAAAGTGTTCTAGAGTTCTAGCTTCACTTAAATCCAAATTTTATCCAATTTAGTACCATTAAGTACCTATAAGTACAAATTTCCGAAATTACATCCGTATTCAAATCCTACACTCCAACAGTAGTCTTATTTCAAAATTTCCGTGTTCCATCTCTACCGGTTCACCCATAACCAAATCGGTCCAAACATAATGTAATTTATTACATTCGTACATATATGTACATATGTCCGAAACTACCTACATATCGCAATCCTACACTTCGACGGTAATATTAATTCAAATTTCAACATTTCAGCTCTATTTGTACCAAATTTAGTACGGTTTAGTACTTTTCATATACATGACTCTACACTTCCTAAATCACTTCCTTGTATCATCGACCCAATTTCTCAAACTTAATTCGCATTCAAAATTTCAAGTGTTTAGCTCTATGTGCTACGAAATTGTACCAATTTTATTATTTATCGGATGCTTATAGTTCGAATATCCAAAACACCGTTTGGTACATCTGTCCTACACTCGATCTCATACCAAATTTCATAACTCGACCGGTTCGCCAAATACAAATGGTAGATAGAATATTTAGTACTTTTTGTGCCGTTCTAGTACGAATTTCCAAAAACCCAGCCTGTGAAACCTTCGGACTAAGAGCGACATTCATCCCATGTTTCACGATTCAAGTTTCAGCAGTTCCCTATGGGCGTTAATGACAGTCAGTTTATCACTTTAGTCTTTTATTAGTATAGATTATATATCACGAATTCCACAAAAAGGTCAACCCCATAGGTGGAAAATGAAATTGTAAAGGGAGATTTAAAATTATATAGAAAGTATTCATCGGAATCCGGACAACATATGTTTAGTTGAATTTTTCAGAATAACAGTAATTCTACTTCTTTTTTCCTACTTACGTGTGGTGAGTAA